TCTGGAATGGTTATCGTTTGAAAAACTACTTGATTTGCTTTAATATGAAACTATTTCTCAAATACTTCATGACAAGCACAGAAGAAACTATTGATGAGAGGTAAGGGACACTAGGAAGTACAGAACCTGTAGTGGGTGGGGGGAAGGGGCAAAAAGAATGGAGTAGTACAAAATAAAGTCGTAGATATGGACAGAAACATAATGATTAAACCCATCACCTTATATGACAACTTAAAAAAATAAGAAAGAAAAAACTCACATCAAGGAGCTTAACTAGTTGGCCCAGAAGAAAGCATTTTGTCAAACAATGTTTTGAAAAGACTGTGATCCCTAATTTGTTACCAAGTTGCAAAGGATTCTTAAATATACATGACCTCTTGAACATGCAGCTGAGCATGGAAATACAAACACTGGCCACTATGATAATAAAAGGGATGTGTACTTCATATCTTGGACAATACAAAGTTCTCAAAAAGAGAGACTATTAAAAAAGCAATTTTGGTTTGTGTTGTCTGATATAGAGGTCCTAGGAGGCTCCTATTTGCCTTATTAAAATCAAAGCTGGAAAGTGACAAACAGTGCCAGTTAAAAGAAGGTTTGTCTCCTTTAGTGTCCATGTGTCCAGCTTTTTGAACTACAAATCTGAGAAGAAAAACAACCTGTTCTAATTACTCATTTCCTGCTTTATGTTAGATGGTATGAAGGATGAACCAATATATACATATACATACATACATACATATATATATATATAAATTTTCTTTGGCCCATGAACACCCTACAACTGCTGATTTCAGGGTAAAAATATGAGCCAAAGCTGAAAAGATTTTTTAACACAATTTCAATCTTCTATTTTAGGAGTTTTCAAGGTCTTGCAATGCTGTAGAAGTGAAATGTCCTGTCTTTTGAGTAGGAATAAAAATCTCAAGTAACCATGTATAGCTAGGACACAACACAAAGAGAAAAATGGGTAGATGAAAGGCACTAGCAGTTTCAACTACACTGCCTTTATAGCCACAGGGTAGCTGCATAGAAAGTTCTAGAAATTCTGTCTTGGATTTTGTAATGAATTGCTGCTAGTACTAAGGTTAAGATTAGAGGCAGTGGGCTTGGGCAATCTGTTCATTATACAGTTTGAACTGAAGCCAATTACTTGTGTTGCATGTCCTGAAGAAACCTTGGAGGGAATCCCCACTTGCTTTAGCAATCAGGAAAGTTACTCCCAGCATCTTAGAAAAGAAGATAAAGAGTAAAGCTGTTAGACAGAAATCCTTCCAGCTTGGTATTTTTGAACTATTCACTTAAGGTAGTATTTTCATTGTGTCCACAGGTTTGTACATACTCTGTTTTTCAGTGATCCACCTCTGAACTACAAAGAAAATACTTCTGACCTATTGCTACCTGGGAAACAAAGATGCTAGCAATGACTTTAGCTCATGGATTAGAATGTAATAATATATTAACTACACTTTAGACTCTTGACATAAATGGGTAATTAGGGAAAACTTAATACAAGGGCTCATGACAAAAGGATGATTTGGTTAATGGAAACCACAGATGCAGCTTTCAAAACTGGCATCAGAAGAGCCATCAACAACCTTATCCTTGAGGGAGTAAGACAGACAATGAGATATTAGACAGAGGTTTGCTATAGCAATACATACAAATTAAAAAAAAAAATGGAGTGGCCATGAATGTGCTGAAGGTTCTTGTGCAGTCTGGATATCACCCTTTTTCACTCTTACTACCTTCTAAAATGATCGTCAATGGTGGAATCTTGCAGAAAATCAGAAAGTAGTAGATTTGCTTGAGCAAAGCATTAACATCATTGTTTATTACTGAGAGTAAGCATGGAGTGTATATAGTAGAACTGAGGAACAGCTGGAGAATACTCAGAACTCTACCATCAAGACAAGTGTTAAATACAGTCAGGTAGGGCAAAGAGAAAGGGGGAGGGAAAAATATGGGATCCATCGTGTTCCCAGAACTTTGGTGTATGTGTCTTAGAATTATGAGTCTTAGAATTCCTGCCATGAAAGGCTTGGTATTATCGCCACTTGACAAGGTGGAACAGTGAATTGTGATGTGTTTCAAAACTATTTTTCATGGGCAAAAACTTAGTAAGACTGAGAATAAGATAAGAAGCTTGATGTGTTTTCCTTCAATTAAAGAGAATATTCACAGAAACAATTAGCATGTCAATATGGACACACCTTAGGAAGTATGGAACATAGGTTTCATTGTAGGAGGCAAACACAACTGTATAATTGATACAGGCCTATGACATGGCTCTTGCTTAATTTTATAAGAATCCCTTCCATATTGATTGGTTGCTCCTGTTGTGATAATAGACCCTTACAGCATTAACCAAGGCATATTTTCTACTTATACAAAAACTGTTTTAATTCCAGTCTCTATGAGATATTACCTTTATTCTAATGACATACAAAAAGGATGAGCTTAGTAAATTTTAAGCTGCCATTATTCTGAGATAGTTGAAAAAAATTCACCTATTCAAATAACATGAGAGGTTCTATGTAGAGACCTGAACCCACCAATTTTTTGAAAATTTTTACTATCTTTTTGGAGGCACTATATCAAAACCTTACGATTATTAAAAACACTATGTCAAATTGAAATCCTCAAATGCAGTCTTTAATGTACCAGATGACTGTTCATAATAGTGATGCCTAAATTTTATAAACATTCTTTTTTAATATTATGTGAATCAAGAAGCTTCTAAAGCTTCTGACTGAAAATGGGCCCATAAACAGTAAGCATATTCCAAATTATGGTAATGCATATCTACAGCAGAGTATACCAAAATGCTCATGATGGGGTTTGATTATTCTGTGGCTTTTCTTGATTATTTTTCTTCACAATAGTGGCTTACCTAAATCTGAATGATGGTTATGGTCTTCCATTTACATTTTTGTTTGTGTTTTAACAATAGATGTGTGATCTTTCAGTTGTATTCCACATGGTCAAATACTGTAATAAGCAATTTTCTTGAAATATATCATTATGTAATGGCAACTATTTCTAACCAAACAGCGTAATTCAACCAACTACTGACTTTATGGGTGGCCTTGACGCAAAAGTGTTGTCAATGACCGTTGATGCGATAAGAACTCATACCTCTTCTGTTTAGTGCTTGCCTGAGTCCTATTTCTCTTGATGCTTTCACACCTCTGATGCTACCCAAGTTATTCAAAGATCCGAACTCTTTGGAAGCCCTTCACAAACAATTTAATTAAAACTGTTAGTTCTAAAAGAAAATTGGAAGTGCAGTTTCAGATTTGATAAACAAAGAACATTATCAGCAATTTGAATTGAATATCGTGTTGTTGTTGGATTGGAATCAAGAGTAGGACTGATCTATATTCATTAAGTTATGAGTGTGAAAGTGAGGGTGGAATGATAACCACTTATTGTGTTTGGGGGTTGAAAGTGAGGGATGGAGATGACTTGCATTTATGGTGTTATGATGCTAGAAATAGGGGGTGAAATGATTTTTTAGTTAGGATAGATTTTTTTTTTTTTACTTACAACCTCACTTTAACATGCAACCACTCAATAGAACTATTTCATTGTGGGAACTTAAAAGCAGAAGGGATTCCTTTGACACATACTTAAATAAATGAATAGGAAACATAAAAGCATACTACTGAGCTGGGGATAGAGCTCAGTAGTAGTACTTGACTAGAAGGCATGAGATCTTGGATATTCCTATCAGTGAAAAACAACAAACAGCTGAAGAAACAGAAGGTGAAGGACAAAGGAGAAGAAGGAGAAAAGAACAAAAGATGCAGGTAGCAAGGTCATAACACAACTATTGGGTGCTGGAAAGGTGAGAGAACTAAATAGATTGGATATGTGTCACCATGAGAATTTTAAACTTGTGGTAAATTCATATGATGAAAACCTATGTACCTGTAAGGATCAATGCGATTAGTCACTACATACTTACAAAATACAAAACTCCTAAATGACATTCACTGTGGGAAATAATGAAGTATGAGAAAATACTACTATTCCATTTGCACTTGTGGTTGTATGTTTATAAGCACATACACACATAAATACTAAATGGATAATGAACTTGAAATTAGACCACAACATGTGCAATATTTATCAGTGAAGAAAGGCGTGTGAGTAGATAGAGAACTATGTAAAGAGCTTTCAAAATAATGTCAGAGACATATAAACAAATTTTAAAATATTTAACAATATATTAAAATTGTAATTTTAGTATATCTTAGTTATTACACATATCTAATTAAACTTTAAAAAATGTATCAGAAGAAACTGCACAAAGAACATAGCAGTGATGTTTTTCTGCTCCTTGTTATTATCTTCTCTGCATCTTTCTAGTTTTCTAATAGTGTTATTACTTTTATAGTAGAGGAAATTATACGACTAAACTGTCAAATGAAAGTGTATATGAATAGCACGACAGTAGAATTTAAACATATGTATGTTTTACTTCTGACTGTTGTTGTATTTGTCTGAGGTGATTCCACTAATTCATTTATTTTGTTCACCTTCTTAATGTACTTGTGAGCCAAAGAATAATTTATCTTTGACCTTAGAGCCTCCAAGCTGTTTGTTGATTTACTCATCTTCTAAGGGAATTGGGGTGTGTGATAAATTGAAGGATTGTTTCACTTCCAGGGTTTTCTTGCTAAAATGAATCTGTGCTGGGATTTATACTTTAATTTAATAGGCAGTTTGTTTTCTAAAGTATGTATTTACAAATTCTCTTAATGCCTCACAATAGGTGTTTTTACAGGCTATCTATGAATGCCTATGACTACATTCAGACTCAACATAAATATTACACATATATACCAGTTTAATACCAACAGAAAAGGAAATCTTCTTGAATAGGCACTTGATGTATGCATAAGTGTGTCTGCATATCTGTGTTTATGTACGTGACATATTCATTGCTTAATGAATGCTCTATTGAAGCCCATTCTTCCATCTCTTTCTCTCAGCTATTATAAAGACTGCCCTTCCAAATATGGACCGAGAAGCCAAGGAGGAGTACCTGGTCGTAATCCAAGCCAAAGATATGGGAGGACACTCTGGAGGTCTGTCTGGAACCACAACACTTACAGTGACCCTTACTGATGTTAATGACAATCCTCCAAAATTTGCACAGAGTAAGTGATTTCCTGAACTACCTGCAAATCATACACATTTTTAGTAAAATTTTCCTCAGCATTACAAAACCTGATAACAGCTATAGACTGCTTACTAGCAAAGCATGCCAAGATGATGCACATTTACCTCCATTTTTATAATTTTAAGGACATTGAAAAAACCTCAAATATCATGAGCATGGTAGATAATAGAATCAGAAAGAATTTGAGTTAATGATGAAAAATTAATCCCTGGTATTGATCCATTATTAACCCATTGTTGTAATAAATAAGTAAAATCTGTAATAGGGGACAAACTATACATTAAAACTGCTTCCAAACAGACATCCTCTTTCCTGCCACCAGGTGCGATATCAGTAACCATTGACTCCATCCTGCTGAGGATCTGCTGAGCTTCAGCAACCTCAACAGAATTCCAGGCAGCCAATGCCAGTGGTCCAGCGAGATGACCATAATCTACATACATCTTCATCCTTTCATAAAACACTTCTTATAAGCATGCATCCAAGAAATATGATATGGAGTAATGTTTCAACGAAGTCTTACAAACATGACAGGAGGACTCTTGAATCGAGAAATAAAGCATGCATATAATTACATGGAATAGGATGAAATCAATAAGCCAAAGGAGAGAAAAATAAACATCAGTGCTAAAAATCTATGGTTACAAATACATATATCAATAATAGTATGTTTGTGTCTTTACATATACATATTCACTTTTAAATATTCTGAATAGAAGTAAAATTAGATGGATTTTTTTGTCTAGTTTATTTGATTTAAATTAATGTCTTCTCTGCTCAGCCATGTTGTCACTGAAAAGACACTCATTTTTAAGGCTGAAAATATACACTGATGTTATAGTCGTACACACTGCTACTTCCTTATCTAATCTTCCATCAATGGGTTCATCACTTATTTCTATTTTGGGGTACTGTAACTAGTATTGCCCTCAATTTGTGTGTGTATTTGTGTGATTGTGTAGATACAGGAAATTTTTGTTCCCCTTAAATACATACGATATAAAAATGATAAAATATTTTTCTGCCATTGAAACCCAGGAGACTGGGGAGTTAAGTTTGCTGAAAGGCACTAAAAATGAGGCTACAGACAAATGAGTTGGGACTGAATTAGTACACCATGTTAAGAACCATGATGTTGCTGGGCAGTGGTGGCGCACGCCTTTAATCCCAGCACTCGGGAGTCAGAGCCAGGTGGATCTCTCTGAGTTCGAGACCAGCCTGGGCTACTAAGTGAGTTCCAGGAAAGGTGCAAAGCTACACAGAGAAACCCTGTCTTGAAAAACCAAAAAAAAAAAGAACCATGATGTTTAGTGTAAGATCATTATGAAGTCATTAAAATATCTTAATTTGTAAGTGAACTGATTGACTCTGTTAAAGAGAAATAAGAGAGAGAGAGAGAGAGAGAGAGAGAGAGAGAGAGAGAGAGAGAGAGAGAGAGAGAGAGAGAGAGAGAGATAAGGACCTGTGCCTTCACCACATTACAGTCCATCAAGAAGAAGTTTACAGACTTTTACTTCAAAGGTGTTAGGAGTCATGGTATGCAAAGATGGTAGAGATGTAAGTAGAATAAAGCATAGGGCCTGCAAGTTCTTCAGTGTTTATTATGTAAGCCTAAGGATGAATCACCTTATGATTTTAAGAAGACAACTTATCATATTACTGATATCAGTAGCTAAGTATTTGGTAGAGCTTTCTGCTGGCTTAGGAAAGACCAATTGAAAACTCTTTTATGAAAAGAAAGAGAGAAACTAGGAAATGAGAGGAGAGAGTAGAGGAGATGGGTGGAGCTTTAAAATCAAACATTTGATGAGTAATTGAGAATTCATTCATAAAAAGTGCCAAGGCAGTAAGTGTAGAGATATATTTTCATATAGAATTATACAACTTTTATTTCTGCCCCTCTGTGAATTATGACCCTTTTAAGAAAAATTATTGGAATAATTCATCCTATCATTATTTTGCTTTCTGCTACTTTGTGGTTCACTCAGTCATATGCAGCTCATCTTTTGCAGAAAAATGATTATTTCAATTCAACAGTGATAAGTGAGTTTCTAATGTATTTCCTTTTGTGGAGGTAATAATTATTAACTATGATTACCCTGATGGAGATAACAAGAACACACAGAACTGTTGTGGAATAGCATTTTAACTAGGCAAATATGTGTTACACTTGTTTATGATATTTTGTTTAATGATGTAAGGATGTGTATTTAATTATGTAAAGATGTGTTGTATCTGTTTCACCTTGCCTGCATAAGGCACCTTATAGTTCTAATAAAGAGCTGAATGGAATGGCCAACAGCTAGGTAGGAGAGGGAATAAAAAGGAGAACTGGAAGAATGAGGGAAGGAGGGGGAGACAACTAGGGACATGCCCCAGGGCAAAAGCCAGGCATACACTGGGCAGCCAGATGTACAGAAGCAGGGAAAGTAAGATATACAGAGGTAAGAAGTAATAAGCCCTGAAACACAAGGTAGATAAAGAGAAACAGGTTAATTCAAGTTAAAAGAGATAGCCAGAAACATGCCTAAGCTGAGGTAGGGCATTTGTAACAAAAAATAGTCTCTGTGTCATGATTTGGGAGCTGGTTGGTGGTCCTAAAGAAAAATCCTGATACACAGAATGGCAGTGGCTAAAGGAATGTTCCATTTGCTTAGCTTTTCACAAATTCCTGGTATAGGATTGGCAGTAAGGTGAAGTCCACTCACTGGCTATTTACTAATAAGCATACCAGAGGGATATTCTCCAAATTCACATGAAATACAAACCTTGAGAGAATTTGGCAGCATGTGTTAGATATAATGATTTTCTTTGCTCACCTTATGGTAAAACCACTTGCAAAATGGTTTTATTCTTCAGTCCCATAACATTACAATTCAAGAGAGTTTTACTTCATCATTAAGGAAAGGAGCTTAAGGAACTTTACTAATCAAATTAACTAGTCTTCAATTCTATTGGATAATGCAAACCATGGTTATTCAGGGTTTCAGCATTTGAGTTTAAACTGTAATTAGGTAACGTTCTACAGATTTACCTTTTCCTTTGGGCTTGTTGCTCATTGAACAGTTGTTTCCTCCTTGTTATGATTGCAATAGGACTCAGTCTTCCTGAGGTTGGGTTTGCATGAAACAGGCTCTGAGACAGCGACCTGTCTATAAGTAATTTAACTTCCCCAAGGAGCTCAGTGGGGAAGTGAGAACAGGCAGGTTAGAAAGCCAGCTGTGTGTACGACCCAAACACTTGCCGCTGTGGATTAGTGTACCTTTATCCTACCGAGAAAAGTCTGAACTGATGGAAACATTTTAAACAAAATTGGCAATAACTCAAAGTTATCCCTTCAGAGAAGGGTGGAGTCTAGTATTTCATAAACTAACTCCTGTGAGTCTTTGATAACTGCTTCTGTGGGACGAATCAATGCTGGAGCAGTTCTTCCAGCCTGACACGCAATGGATGAAATGGAATCTGAAGGCAGGATAGAGCCCCGAGGCAAAGAAATACAAGAAGGAATAGACATATGTAGGGCAGGTGAGCAGTAATGTGTTAATGGCCAGGGAGAGTGGTCGAGTACCACCAGTTTCCGCTATACCAATGAACATGACTGCAAACAACATCTCAACCAAGAAACTGGAATAAAAATAGGACAAAGGCTACTGATTAGACATGCTTTACTTTCCCCAATAGGAGAATGAAAACATACTGTAATTGTATTTTTACCCAGGGAGTTTTAAAGGTAGGATTTTAGTCTTTAGAGCAATGAAGAATTTAGTGACAAGAGGAGTATTTCATGTATCTGGACAGCTTGCTGCAGGCCATGGCAGAAGTTTTGTAATCGGATTTTATCAAAAATAGTCTACAAGTTAGCAAATAGAAAAGTAAGTTCAAAAGTGATTTTCAATGTGTTACACATTGCAGCTCTCTATGGTGAAATTAGCTTAATATTTTATGTGGGGCAACAATGAATATTCCCACAGGCAGGCAATGTAATTATACAGTCAATAGGAAAGGAAATTCACATAGACTCACTAATATTCTGATGTGGTTACTACAAATAAATACTTGGTAAATTTATGGTTGAATCAGTATGTTTTCTGTCTCTGAAGAGTGTTGAAGAGGGTTCACTCCTTCTTAGAAATACTTGTTTCACACTTGTTTCAATGACTGTGCTTTCCATAGAATAGATATACCGCTGTCTGGGTAGCATCTCTAGGCAAATCCTGAAGGTAGGAAATGTCCAATCAATTTTGCTAAATGAATCACTCGGTGAGTGGATAGTGTTTATGTACTACCCAGTGTTTCTCCTCTTTGTAAAGGTTTGTATCACTTCTCAGTACCAGAGGATGTGGTTCTCGGCACTGCAATAGGAAGAGTTAAAGCTAATGATCAGGATATTGGTGAAAATGCACAGTCATCCTATGATATCATTGATGGAGATGGAACAGCACTATTTGAAATCACTTCTGACGCCCAGGCACAGGATGGTGTTATAAGACTGAGAAAGGTAAGCTGAGGAGTATTTTCTTCAGTTTTTAAATATCTCCTAGAAACTTGGCTTGAAATCTCTGAGAGCTGAGTAGACAGGCAGAACCCAGATATGGTAGTTACTTAGATTTAACTTTGAAAATGAGATGAGAAAGTATGCAGAACAGCACTGTTGAGCATCACCAGTCTCTTGGGACCACATCACATTTTAGATGTCCCTCTGGTAAACAGTTACCAGGATGTAGCTAGCCTCCTATTACTTTTCTCTACATTTATGATTCAGTGATTTTTCCTTAAGGCAAAGAAGTCACTCAGTCTTTATACAGGGCACTGAAGCCAAGTAACCTTCAACCAATTGAGAGCAAAATGGATGGACAGTTATTACTGGCTGGTGAAACTACTCCAGGATACAATTACGTACAGTTTTAATGGATTCTCAGTGGGACCACATCTCAATTGTGCCCCAGAAGCAACTAGTTCAATAGTTTCTAGGCTTTCCCAATGTAACTCTCCTATTTCTGCTCCCCTGTTTCTTGAAATGTCCCTCCCAAATGCGTTGATGTTTCCCCAAGTCCTTATTGAAAACTTGCTTACAAAGGAACTCAGAGACAAGCATGATGCTCAGAACCAGGCATCCTATGGAGTTCTGAGGCTCAGGAAGGAGACCAACTCTCCTACTATGGTTATTTTAAACCATGTGTCAAAAGTCCAAGCTTTATTCAAAATAAGTCTCATGGTTTCTTTGTTCTAGAGATGAGGCCATTAGAACCAGAAGATAAATTTCTGGAAAAAAAATTAAGAAATGAAGATTTGAAACATTTTGGCCAGTGAACTGTGTTTTATTCTTGTTTTCATTTTGTTTTGGTGTTAGATGTGAATGATTCTGTGTGTTTTTCAATTTGTGTTCTTCATCATGAACTCTTCCGTCACAAGAAGCATGCAACAATGAGCTCATGTTGTGCCACTACCAAGTTTCACTTGTGTAAAGAGAGGTCCATCGTAGGGATGACAATGTACTTTCTTCAATATTATTCTTGGCATCTTTGTTGCACATGATATTTTAAACAGTTTTTCTAAATTAGGAATAAGAAAAAACATGACGGGGCACATTATTGGGAATCATTAATTTTTTCTCTGCTGTTTTAAGCATTAATTGAACAGCATTAAGTCTGTTATGCAATTCTTTTTTGGGGGGTTGTTTTTTTATTATTATAAAATTTTCTATTCATTTTACACACCAACCACAAATCCCCCTCTCCTACCTCCTCCCCCCATATGCAATTCTATCATGTGACATGAAGACAATGTTCTACTTCAGATACATTTCAGTGGAAGTGTGCTTGTTTATCATGAGTAAGATCATTGTTTTCTATCTCTGGGACCTCAAAAATGTATGTGAAATGGGTGGTTGTGCTCTTAAAATCCTTCTTGAAGAGAATCATCAACAGAAACCTGGAATATTCTGGATATATATTTTGTTTAAAACTTATTACAATCAATGTTGGGGACAAATGACTATATTTATTTTAATTCGTCAGTGAGCAACACTATTCTTATGCTGAGATCCAAGTTCAGAGTTTTGAACTAATAGTTGAAAAATATTTAAAAGCCTGTATTTCTAATAGAGTGCTGTATAATTATGTTTAAGTCAGTTACTGAATAACTCAGAACCACATTTTCCTTGCCTAAAAAAAAAATCCTACTTTCATTTTTATTATTTTTATTAACTGGTATCCTTTGTTCCTCTCAGGTCCTTTTATAAACTGAAACAATGATCCATTCATTGTGATTCTGTCCACTAATATTTATAAACTTGGAGGCATATGCCATGTACTTTGTGACATGAAAACCATAAGGCGATTTTAGAGTAAAGTGTATGATGGGTCAAATTTCTATAGGCTCATGTGCCACTGTTTTTTTAACGGATAAAGTCCTAAGGACATGAGAGTGTTTTTGGACACTTTATAGTTAAGCTAGGCTGAAAAATACAGACAAAGAAAAAAAAAAGCAGAATCATCTTGGAGAACTGCCTGGTTTTGTTTTTTAGTGAACCAAAAAAAATGGAGTGAGGTACAGGGTACCTATTTACCTATTTAGGCAGACTGTTCCTTGAATGTCTTCTATGAAAAAGACTAGAAACTATGTGGAGAATGCCTAGAGTTATCTGAGACTGGAGGCTGTGAAAAGATGAAGTGAAGAGAAAGGAAAGATGTTGATCCAAGGGTCCAAAACTACAAAACTAGACAATATTTAGTGGTATTTTGTGCAGTGTGATGGCCACAGCACTTCTAGAAGAATAGAGTCTTAATATCCACCCAAACTGATAAGATGGTGTGATGATGGATACATCAATTGACTTGATCAAGTCCTTGCTTTGTGTATTTGTGTATTATTGCACCTTAAAATATACACAATTACTACTTGTCAATTAACAATACTATTAACACAGAGCACATTTTTAACTGATTTTGTAAAGTGCATGGAATGGCAAGAGAGAATGGGTGATTTGCAGGTTTTGAATATTCTCATACCATTCTAAATCATCTCTTCCAAACTATACACAGACACATTGTTATTTCAGAATCAACAGGGAAGTGTATTTGCACTGTTTACCCAAAAATATCAGGGAGGAGAACTAAGTAAATCACATCTGAATTCAAATATAAAAATCAACTTGGATGTTTGAAATAAGAATATATATTTAATCTTGCACAAGTGCTCTGTAAGACTTCGCTGATGATAGTTTTTGTTCCAGTTTTCTATTTTCTAAAAATTTGCATTGCAGATTTAAAGTTCTGTTTCTTCTGAGAAATTGCAATACATATATAAACTATCTTCTTGAATCTTGTCAGACTTGCCTTCTTAAAATCTGGAGTATTATAAGTTGCCAAGAATTTGCCTAGATGGGTTCTGCTACAGATTGGCTCTAATGTATGTAAGGGAATGTATCCTCTTACATCACTCGGTTTACACCCATCATTGACAAAGTCTTTTGGACTGTTAAGGAATGATGACTCTTTCAGAAATATCATCAATGATAGAGCAATGATGTAATTTCAGTTTTTACGTAGTAAATGTGAGGCAAAGTCAGACCTAGTTGTGTCAGTTTATCTGGCTTCACACTTGGTTTTTCTAAATATGAACCAAAATAGCTCTGCTTATGAAATCATATCTCTTTATATGTTTACCTGATCCATAGCACAGTACTTTTGACAGAGACCTAACAATGTCCCCAAAAGCAATAGGCCCCATTTCAGCCACATAATCAGTAAGAGTAGAAATGTTTTGGAAATGATATGAAATACTCTTTGTTAGGATTAGTGCTAAATCATGCTTTGTAACGTCTCCTTAGACTAAACAATGATCATTTCTAGTCTTTCCATTTCACACGCTGTTGCAGAAATGATAAAATATTGTTCCCAGATAGAGACTGTTTTCAATACTGCCTTATCTGCCACCAGCAGAAACCTGGTTAACCAGATGATTAGAATGCTAGTCATGTCATCGACAGTAAAATTTTATTATGACTGTGAAGTGAAAATTTGATGTTACAATTCATGACTGTGAATATTCTGTGAATTCTAAGTGAAATGAGCAAAACAAAACAGAACAATAGATTAGGCTTGCGGAGCTTGTATAATAAACAAGTATCAATAAATGCCTGCAAAATTTACAGGTTGAATCTTTGGGAATGGATCCCATTAAGAGTCACAAACTGGCTTAAATGAGAATAACTTCCATCCATCCACATTATACTCATTTGTTCTTGCTGCTATGGTTTAGAGAGAAGCATTCATCTTTGTCATTTTTTAACAGCCTCTGGACTTCGAGACCAAAAAATCCTATACACTGAAGGTGGAGGCAGCCAATATCCACATCGACCCACGTTTCAGTGGCAGGGGACCCTTTAAGGATACAGCAACAGTCAAAATTGTTGTGGAGGATGCTGATGAGCCCCCAGTCTTCTCTTCACCAACTTACCTCCTTGAAGTTCATGAAAATGCTGCTTTGAACTCTGTGATTGGCCAAGTGACAGCACGTGACCCTGATATCACTTCTAGTCCAATCAGGTATTTCTCTTTTAAGTGTAGTATTTGCTGCTTCATAGGACAAGAGAAAGAGCCTATGGAACTGTTCTGTGATGAAGGGCTTTCCATCTCTTTATTCTCTCTCATTGTATGGATGTGTGTACATTCATATATTTATCTACTCAGAGCTACAGACAATGCCTAGAAACAGAAATTTCAAAATAAACCAAGTTATTCCTGCTCTTGAGAAAGCTAGATGGAGATGCAAAATTGCAAGCATTTTATAGCACTTTGGGATGGATCTTTTTCATTTTATGCTTTATTATTTTTTAGTATTGCATGAGCATTGCCAGTTGTATTTTGTCTTTTCTGACAGATATAGTGAATTATATATTAGAATTCAGAGGTATGAGACCTCCATGTCACCACATTTAGAAGTCCCTATCTTGTTTCTGAATGTGGGTTTGAAATTACCTTCTTCTCAGTTTGTGAGTGTTTCTGATAAGTCAGCATCTGGACTGGTTTCTTTTATGGAAAAAAATATTTCTGTGTCATTTAAAAATACCTCATGTTCAGAATTTTCTTGCATAGATATTTTTCCAAAGGATGAAAACATAATCATTTCTTCAAATTATTATTTTTGCTTTAAAATGAGTTTCAATTCTGTTCTTTTATATTTATTTGTAGACATCTTTTCTTTCTTAGAAGTCAACAAATGACAGTGTAGATACTTAAGCTGAAATCACTCTAAGCATCTATTATCTTATGTGCTGGTTGCCAAGGTTGAAGTGTTGGCTAATAATGTGTTTGAGAGTGGATTTCAAGTATTGTCAAGTGTGTGTGTGTGTGTGTGTGTGTGTGTGTGTGTGTGTGTGTGTGTGTGAGAGAGAGAGAGAGAGAGAGAGAGAGAGAGAGAGAGAGAGAGAGAGAGAGAGAGATTGTGTGAGAGTGAATGAGTGTGTGTCAGAGGATGTGTGTGAGTGTGTATGTGAGAGGGAGGGTATGAAAATACTAAACATTTTCAATTTATAAGCTACAAATATCTAGGATTGGCATCTTTGCATTTATTCTTCAGAAAATCTCTAGAAAAGTATATTTTCTAGAGCTTTTTATTATTTACACCTTACAATTTATAGTACTATTTTATTTTTAGATACTAGTTTAATAGTTGCTTCCCCATGTTGCCATTATATGCTTATGTAGTAGACTTTCCATGTGTTTCAGCTACTGTGCACCTGAAAAAAATATAGTACATCTATGCTTTTGAAAAAACAAAAGGAGTTAGAACATGAGCAAGAGGGGTGGAAACAATGTAAATAGAAACTTGCACATAAAAGTTGTAAAAAGCCAAAATTAATACTTACTTAGTATATTATTTTTCATTAACATCTATTTACAAACTTAAAATACATTAAGTTCTCATTACTTGAGGGTGGGAGATAGAGGTGAAATTCTTCAGGAGAGTAAATGCCTCAAACAACAGAAGATTGGGACAAAATGGGAATTATTTTCACATTAATCACAGTTCTTAATAAAATACAATTTATTTTTAAATTTGGGACAGTGAAAGGACACTCCCATGAAGATAATATAAAGAAAGCATTCTGGAGAAGACAAAACCACTAAGAAGGTAGCCCTCCATGTGAGGGTTTGACTAATGGCCAGGTGGCCATTCTCATCTCAGAATGCAAATAATAAACTATAGACATGCAGAATATCCTTCATCTGTTTGAAAGTATTATATCTGTGAGAAAGTCCAGTGTGAAATGTAAGGGTGGGAAGAATCCAGAAACAGATAAATTTGCATAGGCATCCAAAAAATAGTTGTGCAGTGGCTTGACAGTGGGATTTAACATGAATGAGCACAGTTGTATGAATAGGCGAACTTACTTGCATGCCTCTTTCATGTTCTCTGTCAGAAAGCATCCTTACTTTTCCCACAACTCCAAGCATAAGACAGAATCTGAAGGTACTAAACCAGATGGGTGCAACTGAAGTCCAATTATGAGAATAATCTCAAACCTTGGTTTGATGACATTTCTACTGCTTTAAGCAAACAACACATAAGTTCTCAGGAATATATTAAATCATGATTCCCTAAAAAATAAGGGATACACACATTATTGTCACACACACACACAAATACTTATATATGTATACATCATGTATTATATGTAATACATAACAAGGGATACACACATTATCATCATCATCACACCACACACACACACACACATATATATTCCAAGTTCAGTATTCATCACACCAATGACAATGCTATTATTATAGAATGGCATGTTCTTTATCAGGGATGAGGTTTGAGAAGCTTTGTAACTCAAAACAAAAGAAACAATTCAATCACAGAACTAGGCATAAACCAGAGTCACTACCCCTCATGTTGCTTCTATACATCTTATAATCTCTCCTTTATTCTTGAGGAAAACCAGTTTTATTGAAGTAATTTCAGTTCCCAGGGAGTCAAGCCGCAATTCTCACTGTAACTGATTATAGCCATATCTATTATTGTCACTATTTAGAAAGGTGTGTGTGTAGGAACCTGGGGATTCTTCAGCAGCAACTATCTAGCTTCAAAACAGGCCATTGTTAAGTCCAGCTAAAGGGAGGTACTGGGAAGAGATGGACAGATCAATTGTGCTTTGGTGACATAGACATATCAGTGCTTCTGATATATGCCAGGCAAGTGCAGGTTCCTACATGTCTCTAGTCCCATACCAAGAAGACACAGGTACTGTTTCAAAGAATGTGTGGGAGACTCTGATATGTCAGGGAGTATGTGGGCTCCACAAAGTCCTGGCAGGTGGATTGTCCCCAGGAGATGACACTTTAAGGAAGAACCACTGCTTTTTCCCCCTCCAGTGTCATCTCTCCATTTCTGCCACCCTCCTCTGCCGCTTGGCTTACAGAAAGTAGCTTCCCTATGTCTATACACAAATGGCTAATTTGAATAGAAAACTAAATTTCCCAACTAACCAGGTCAGTGCATAGGTCATTATGAAGCTAGCAGATGGGCTTAGAATATCTTTTCCTTTTAAAATAGATCTAGAGGTTGTGACATCTCAGGGAGTCTCTGGGCAATGGATAGCTACACATCATTTTCTCTTTAGAACTACTGTATTTCATACGCTGACAAGAGTGTATCCATCTTTCAGAATAATATTTGCTTTGCCATCTTGCAAAAAGTAGTCAGTCATTGTGGCATCTGCTATGTTAAAAGATGCAGTCATTTGCTGGCTCATCGACTTCCTGTGCAATTTAATTTTTGAATACAGATCCTAGATAGAAATATCTTGCATTTTGAAATACTTATACCTATATCTAGATATATGTTCATATCTGTATGTCTCAATATTCCAGTCCAGAGGAAAATGAACAGTGATATACATTAAAACCCATGATCACACTGTCTTTCTTCCAGGAACATTAATTAAGGGTTTGCTTTTTTCTTCTCTGCTACGTACGTTGTTGCTCAGTAATGGAGACTAATTTCTGACAATTTATTTAAAGATGGTGTTTTTCAACTCAGGCAGATTAAGTCAAAAATCATATCACTGTTGTTTTGCAGCATAGCTGTCAGCCTTAGAGTTCTCAAACTCACTTTCTTCAACGTCTATGATGCTATATTCCTCATAGGGCATTGAGCAAATGAAGTCACTTTATTAGATGTTTCATCTATTAGCATTACTATCTAATTAGGGGTAAGCCATGACGCATTTATTTTTTCAGAGATGAATTTAGTTATTTTGCGTGTCTGTGTTTTTTGCCTGTGTGTATCTTTGTGCATCACATGTATGGGTGGTGTGCCCTGAAGTCCGCTGGCATCACATGTATGGGTGGTGTGCCCTGAAGTCCGCTGGCATCACATGTATGGGTGGTGTGCCTTGAAGTCCGCTGGCATCACATGTATGGGTGGTGTGCCCTGAAGTCCGCTGGCATCACATGTATGGGTGGTGTGCCCTGAAGTCCGCTGAGGACAGTGGAACTCTTAGAGAAGGAATTACAAATGCTTGGGAGCAAACACATGGGAACCAGGAACTAAACTAAGGTCCTCTGCAAGAGCAATGAGTATTTTGCACCACTGAGCCGACACTTCAGGCCTCTCATTTTAAAAATTAAATGAAAATTAAATATCTAGGAGCTAGTTGAGAAGAGAATTATAGTAAACATGGCTAGATCTATGTAGAATGATATGGTAGTTTTGGGGCTTATTCTATCATTTTGTTGTTTGTTTGTGTTAAGATATATTTCAAAGAATATAAATAATGTCATTTATTTTAATTTTCTCAAGCTTATGATTGCAATATTGTCACTAATGTGATCACTATGTCTTAAGGCCCGTGTGAATATGCTACTTTCTTGCGATAACACCTTGAGATGGTATGTCTAATCAGTATCCTCATTTAATACAGAAAGGTGACGAGGACAGGACAATGAGCTTCCCAAGTATCACACAAACAGATGGATGATTCTCATTGTCAACTTGAATGCTTTTAGAATCACCACGGGAATGTATCACTAAGTGTGTCTAGGAGAGGGTTTTCCAGAAAGGTTTAACTGAGGTGAGAAGAAACCCTCCTGCCCACCCTACCTTCCATGAGCAGTGTCTTGCCAGGGTCTGGGATCCTGAACTCAATCAAATATGGGAAATTAACTGAGCATCAGCTCTTTCCACTCTCTGCTTCTTTACTGGAGGTGGAAGGGGACCAGTGGCCTCAGCTGCTGCCTTTCCTTCCCTGGCATGATGTGCTGCACCTCAGATTGTGAGCCACAGGAAATCCCCTCTTCATTAAGCTGCCTTTGTCAAGTATTTTGTCACAGCACTGAGAAAAATAACTTGGACAATCAGCTTTCTAACCCTGTAGCAAAATACCTGTGATTAACTTAATAGAAGGATGGGCTGGAGGCTCACGGTCTCAGAAGTTCAGATTCCTGGTATGTGGCAATGCTGCTTTGAGCCTGTGACAATTCCATGTACCAAAGTTGGGGTCATGTTGCTGAAGAGGCTGCTCATAATATAACAGCTA